TTTATGATATAATGACAATTTCGTGTACAGAATTTGATAATGCGATAAGAGCCTCGACGAATGAAATTCCCCATCTTCCGAGAGAACCACAGATCCACGCTAATGTATTCCGGGTAAATCCTCATTTTTCCAGATGAATTAGACTTATTTTTTGAATGTACCACTGAATATTCATGTCGAATTATCCATTAACATACGCAATAAAATTTGGAGAATTCATGAATGATCATTGAAATGATCATTTACTCCATGGAAATGATAAGTGTTCACTGGAAAAACATATACACTTGATTTTATTTTTCAATTTAATTAATTCTTCTATCTAAATTAAATTCGGACAGCGTGTGGTCAGTGCATGCCATCTCTAATAGACGCAACATATTTCAATGCGACGAAGTCCCCGGAATATCATTCCGGAATTGAGCCTCGGCGGATGAAACTCCCCATTTTACAGATCCACATTAATATATTCCGAGTAAATCCTCATTCTTCCAGACAAATTAGCCTTATTTTTTTAATGTACCACTGAATATTCATGTCGAATTATCCATTAGCATACGCAATAAAATTTCGAGAATTCGTGAATGATCATTGAAACGATCATTTCCATGGAAATAATAAGTGTTCACTGGAAAAATATATACACTACTCAATAACGTTCACGGAAAAAAATTATCCTCGAGATGGCATGTAATGACGACGCGTCGTCCGAATTTAAGTAAATTAATTTTATTTTTAAATTTAATTAATTCGTTTATCTAAATTAAATTCGAACGGCGTGGAATATTATTTCGGAATTGACCCTCGACGGATGAAATTCCCCATTTTACAGATCCACGTTAATATATTCCGAGTAAATCCTCATTCTTCCAGATAAATTAGCCTTATTTTTTCAATGTACCACTGAATATTCATGTTGAATTATCGATTAGCATACGCAATAAAATCTCGAGAATTCGTGAACCTTTTGACTTTTGAAGCCCCTCCATTAAGAATTTCATTCGAAAATGCCTTCCTCTTCCCCTACATTCCAACAATCTCACCTTATTAAGATTGAACGTGGGATTATGTAATTCATCCAAAGAAGGTCTGTGTGCCGCCTGAATGCTCAAGATATTCCGATAATTGTCGAGCCTCGGTAGAGCCTCACGCGTCATATGCCTGAGGGACTTCTTCGTCTCCTGTTCCCCGAGAAGGCTCGTCCTGCCCTCCATGCTGTCCACCCGGTTGACATGGAAACGCGTCCTGCGCTGGAGGGGGCTCAACTCCACATCCTCCAGATCCATCTCCGCCTTTCCGTTTTCCTCGTAAGGCATTTTTTCTATTCCTACACCAATTCTATGATTCACTCTGGATTCAGGGGAAAATGATTTAGATTTTTCTCTTTGACCCGTTAACTAGTTTTCAAGATGTTTTTTGTCGCTTTTTAGTCGCTCTGTTCATCAAGGCTTCTTACCTTGAAGCAATTATTCAATAACTACTGCGTGGGTTTGTCAATTATGAAATTATTCTTGTTTACAACGCCCGAACGGAATTAGTGAGTATAGGGTGGGACCAATTTCGTATTTTTTTGTTGGTATTGTAGTAATTTGTATCATTTAAGGTATATCCCAAGACAATACCATCCAAAAATTAACTTAAACTTAAAATTAACTTAATTTTATTTATAATAAACGTAAATAAATATTATTATTATTACGTTTGAATCTATTTTAAAATTAACTTCATTTATTGTATTCTCGGAAATTATTGAGTTTGAGGTAATAATAACTGTTTGAGACAAGTAATGAATTGTTTGTTAATTAATTGTTTAAATCAAACAAGAAATGATTTCACGAAATTTCCATTTTTTAGAGTTGAGTACGGAATTTATTAATCTACCGCTGATTCACGCATTTTATTATTTATTATCTCCTAAACTATGTAGTACAACTAGTAGGACGTTTTCTCAATAGCTGGGGAATATTATAAACAATATCTATGAAGAGCATGTGGATAATCGCAAGAAAAACCTGTTTTCTAGGGATATAAATACCTTAAAGGGAAGATCAAAGGGATCCGGATTTTTCGGATTGAATAAACTTCCTTTGAATGAAATTACTGAGGTCATCCAACTAGTTCGCAATATAACGTTTATTCAGACTGAAATTTAATTTTTATTCGCATCAAATAAACTGGTTCTCAAATTTAAACAAAAGTTTCCTCGATCCAAATAACGATGTTACCCGTCATAAGTGCAATAATTAATCAGACGACGAGTCTGAAGAACGATTTCAGTAAGATGTGATCGTTTTTTATTAGGAAAAATAAATTAACAAAAATGCCAGATGATTCGTTAATTCTCTTATATGCTTTTTTAAAAATATAAATAACTGTAAATAACTATAAATAGTAATGTGCTGTTGATTAGAAATTAAAAAAAAACAATAATCAAACAAGTCATCGTCCAAGATAGCTCTCTATTTCTCCGATGCGCTATTCCGGTCAAAAAAAGAATGAAAAAACATTTATCACTCGAGATAAATTCGAAAAAAACGTGTCCCATTTTACTGCCACTTTACCACTAGATTTATCCATATCGTAGGAATACCAGTAACCGCCGGAAGAAACTATGTCAACCCCGAAGTAATAAAATAAAATAAAAGAACTAAAAATACTCAGTCTCAACCAGACCACGTGTAACTGACAGAACTTCTGCGCAAATAATTTGCCGATCCCCTAATTTCCATTCAGCGCGGGTAAACTCTCGCCAGACTTGAAGATTTCACTCACCAGAACGCGAATGTAGTTTCACCGCTCACACGCAGTCACCCCTCATTAGATCCTCGGGGATAAGACAATTGCGACAATTTTCAATATGCACCATTATCTTCACATCACCCTGGCAACCCAGCAACAAGGGTGAAAAAAAACTGCAGTTGTCGCCGCAATCCGACTATCCATTCAAAGGATTCCCACAATTTTTACTATTTCCCTCCCGCTATTTTCGTCGTATTTCGTGGGTAACAGACGCGTGTAAAGGGACCACGTGTGGGGAGGCACTACCGGTACTGAAAGACTCGCAGGATCGGGGAGACACGTGTAAAGAGTATGAGAGCCCGATTACAGCTGGCAGACGTAGAAATATACCCCAGAGATATAACGGCGATGGTTTCGTTGTATTGGTTGTACATTTGAAGCGCCTCTCGCGTCAGTGTCTGGGTTTTTGATTCAACTAATGCTTGGGGAGTGGGTATTCCTGTTGGTGCGGCGCACGTGCTCTACTCCTTACTCGTATAATGAATTCAGCAATGCAAATCAACGAGAGTTCACGGATAATCGAGACATTCCGACTGTTTCGAGGGAATTTAATTGTTTGGATTGATTTTTAATTCATGCTATTTTTGGTGGATGATATTGCTCGCTCGTTTTGTTCTCTTTTCGATTTTCCCCGAGCAATTTTAGACGTAGGCATTGGCGCAGGACTCGATTTCTCTGCGGGTCAGGAGTTCGGGGGCTACGTCAATGTTCCCCTTTTGCAGAACAACCCCTCGGGCTAGGTCGACCCGTGTCGTTTTGTCTGCGGGAAGTTTTACGTTTTTAATGCAGGAGGTGGAATTGCGAGGTGAAAATGGTGGAGTTGGAGGCGAAATGCGGCGATGTTTTAATTGACTCTTGATTTTTTTATGGACTGGGAGGGACAGTCAATTTAAGTCAATTTTTAATTTGAGTCTATTTGAGGGGTAACAGAATGCGAGCAATTTTTTCAAATTTCACGGCCCGATAAAATATACGAAGGTCCGGGCAGGATCATGAAACTTATGCTACTCGATAGATTTTGCGAGGATAGATTTTTAGAATCCGAATCTGTTTGTTAAAATGCGCTCAAATGTTTGGGGACAAAAAAATGTTAAAGTCGGAAAAATGAGCGAAATTGATCAAGTTCAAAAAATGAAGTCAATGAAGTTTTCTTTTATTGAGTCCGGGCAAGAACAGGAGGTTCCGGATTCTCAGAAGTATGGAGTGGAGAAGAGAATATTTGGATAGATTTTTCCGTAGTAGGCTGAAAAAATAAAATAAGAGAAAAAATGGTGCATTTTGCGCGGATTAGGAGGAGAGGCAATTGTTTTTTCTCGTTGAGCAGGATTAGGAGCCAATCCTGGATGAATCAAATCCAGAATTAACTCTGGATTAACTCTGGGTGCATGGACATTTCCCAGAGTTTCTCTCTTTCTTCGCTGGGTTTTTTGCATAAACCCAGAGTTAACTCTTTTTTTTTAATTGTTATTTTACATCGCTTCGACCCGGAGAGTTAACTCTGAGTTTGATCTATCAGGGATTTCAACTTGTCCTTCCCACGTGGGTTTTAAACTGAGAATTGAAACCTGCGAAGTAGAATTATTAGAGTTCACTGGATGCGCAATAAAAATTTCAGTTGGACTGGGGGGGGAAGAATGCGCAGAAGATTCCTATGAAGCGTTTACAAGGTTTCTTTGAAAATTTCTTTACTCTTGTTTTTCTTTCACGAAATTCGATGCAACAGCCCTTTTTTTTTATTGTTGAGTATACGTTTCAGAATAATTTTCCCACAGAACCATTACTGCAATTTCTTGCAGCACGAGAATATCTCCGGATTGAGGAGTTCAAGCGGAAATGTCAAAAGCTCATTTTGTACTCCAGAAAAGTCTCTACAAAAATCAATCCTTGACATTTCCTTCCCAATCTTTAGCCTATTAGAGTGCCACCATTGAGTTCAATATTAAGAACCATCTTTCTCCTCCCAGAGTCAAAAAGTCTCTGATATCTACAATTGCTGACAAGGCGCATGAATTTGTTGAATCCCTGGAGACGTGCTCCATCTTCTTCAGTCTGCAATTCTTTTGTAAACATACGCATATTTGTTTTATATGAGTATCGTGCAATGATTTAACCCTGTAATTGGCCTCGACTGTTGGACATTGAATAAATAAATAACAAATAGCAAATAACAAGCATTGTATCCTAAAAAATAATATCATGACTTCCAATGTCTTCAATGACTTTAATGATTTTATAACCAAAACACTATTACTGAACTCCATAAATACAACAGCTCTCTCATTAAGTTCTCGTAGTAAAAATCCTTCAGATAACAAACACGATGAAAGCTCTCACTAGTTATCACTGAACCCACTGAACACGAGTTCGATGGCAGCTTGAACGTCGCCGTTGGTGAACTGCAGTGCCATGACGTTGGTTGCATCATCCTGGAGTCCGATCTCGTGCATTTGGGCGAGTTGTCTCTGGAGATCTCCACTCTGAGGTAAAAGGGGTGGGATCGCAGGGGCAGGAGGGGCCATCGAGGTGGCCCCACTGGGGGCTGATGCGAAGGCCTGCTGCATCGCCTGGGAGAACATCTCAGTGGTGATGAGGCCTGAATTGCTGCCAGCTGACGTCGAGGAGGACGAGTGGGACAGGGGAAATGCCGCCCTGGGATTGGCACGTGAGAGAGCTGCTGCCAATTGCGCTGCTGTTATCGCTGTGGTCGAGTCCGACGATTGGGAGGAGTCACCTGCCATCTCCTCGTCGTCGCTGAGGTTGTCCAGGCTGTAGGAGTAGGCGGCGGTGGGGGCGTTCAAGGTCGAGGGACCTGTCCCTGAGGTCGCTGAACGGTGGGACTCCTCGTGCACTGCTGCCACGATCGACAGAGCTGCTTCTGCCAGCACTGGGTGGAGCTCTGCTGCTCTGGAATTTTCAAGACAACAGTTGAAGCTGATGACAATCGATGAAATTATTTTAGGTGTTACCCTATAGATTCAACCATTTTTAAACGTCAAATTTGTTAATGAAATTGCGTGAGAAAATTTTGGAAAAATTGGCAATATCTAGCCTTATTCAAAATACATTTTACACGGATTTTTTTTAACATTCGTTGTTTATAAGTAAATAATTGAAATTGTTTAAACTTTTGGAAATCTGTTTTCAGGTATTAAATCGATTTCTAGTAAAATTCTTAATATGAATAAATTTGTTACGATTGCGAATAAATGATTTTTATGGTGGAAAATTGATTGTTTATAATTTATTTCATCAGTCTTCCTGCAAAACTAAACCTTCCATTTTTTTCAGATTTTTAAAATGTTTTCTCACGGTTCAATATTCAGACTAAAATTCGGAGCTGCAAAGTTTGAGTAATAAAATCATTTTAAAGTGTCCGGAAAATTTACTCAGTCCATGGGAGACAGTGAATAAATAAATTGTTTATTTAATTTTGTCAAATCTACTGCAATTAATATTTTGATTTAATATCTTTTGGTTCGTCCTCTCCATATTGTCTCAATTAACAAAAATATCGTAAAGTTAGAATTCATCTTCAAATTATCAATGCTATTTCACAAATGTTACTTATCAATTCATCGTTTACCTTCGAACAGTATCAGTATCATTGAAATGAGCCATTAAATCTGGATCCTGCAACATGGCAATAGCAACTGAATCATCGACGAGTCCAGGAGTTGTTAAAATGATGTTCTCAATGACCTCTGGACGTTTGCTCAGTCGCTGAAACAAAAAAAAACTCTTCAGTCCTAGATACGAAATAATAAAAAAAGCTTGAATATTAGTATTCCTGCACTCACATGCAGAGCATTTCTCAAAGTTGGGTTTTCATTGAAAGCCTTGAAGGCGTTGGCAATCTGCAAGATGCTGCCCTCGGTGATGGGCTTCGCTGGAACTGGTTTCTCTGCCTCCTTCTTCTTCAGGACGTGGATCATCGAGCCGTCCTTGAGACCGCAGGACTCCAGTGAAGCGTCATCCTCCAGTATGCATCCACAGTGGATGAGTTCTGCACTTGAACAGAGGTAATGACTTTCAGGTAAACATTGAGTGAATGAACGTGAATTTCATTCAAAATGATGAAACGTGAAACTGAAATACGAATCGAAAAATTGCATGCATTTTTAGAAAAGAATTTCAATTCCAGATTTCAGTGGAAATTCAATGAAACTCTAAAGTTTTAAGCAACAGGAAAACGAGAATTCCTCAACTTGAATTTTCAATTGGAGCATAAATGTTCAGTAGTAAATTACGCGGAATCATCAACTGAATAAATTTTTTAATTCGAGAATGTATTTGCCTGAATTTTCCTGATTCGTGTTAATTTTAACGAAATGATTGAACTGAAATTTACTGTTTTGATTGACATTTGCATGGAATTTTGAATTATTAATCAGGAAATTGTTAGGAATTCTAGTGGACCTTTAACGTGACAAAAATTTTCAAGACGTGTATCAGAAGCATTCCCCAATTTACTTGAATTTTCAATTGACGCATAAATCAGTACCAAATTAAGCGGAATCATCAACTGAATAAATTTGTTAATTCGAGAATGTATTTGCCTGAATTTTCCTGATTCGTGTTAATTTTAACGAAATGATTGAACTGAAATTTACTGTTTTAATTGACATTTGCATGGAATTTAAAATTATTAATCAGGAAATTCCTTGGAATTCCAATAAAATTACAACGTGACGAAAATTACCAGAAATTTGAACCAAAAATATTTAACAGTAAAATACATAACAAACGAAATTATGAATCTGCATCAAAACAAATTGAAAACGAAGCTGAATAGAGCCTATTATATTTAGGGGAACAACAGAAAAAATGACAAGTCATACCAAACGAGTCTTTCGGGAGCTCAATCCTCTCCGCAGTGCTGATTCTCAAGTCTTCCACCCTGGTTTTAAGATCGACATCACTCAGCTTTATCGTCGAAAAGGTGCCTGAGTTCGAACGAACTCCAAGATTCAACTGCGCACCCATTTTTTGCGATCGGAATTGAGATTTCGTGGGAAGATGTGTTTGTTTACTATCAGCCAAGCTATCAGCCCCACGCCTTGAGAGACTTGGCAGATTTGAAGTTCTCTGAGTTGCCACCACAGCGCTGATTCGACAGCAGCAGCGCCATTTCTCGTTTCTCGCGCGTCGCATTTTCGAAATATTTTTTACACAGTGATTTTTTCAATGACAATTTTCCCAATGTTTCAGCTCAAATTCATGGAAAAGTGAAAAAAATAATAATATTAAGTATAAATCCCTATTGACCCTGAAGAGGGCCCCAATGAGGGGTAAAACGTTGGTGTAACATTTAATTTAATTAATAAAGAAACCGAAAAGCCAATTGAAAATTTATCTATGAATAATTACTGCGATCGACAAAAATTAACTCAGGATTAAGTGTAAATAGTAATATTTTGACAGCACTTATCTCGAAAAGCAGTCATTTTTCAATAACTACCTCCACTTATTCATTACAAAACATAGTTCAATTATATTTTGGTCCCATACATAACAACATTTATTTCAAAGGGAAAACAGTCTGTTCCAGCAACAACATCACACAATACTCTTTACAATTATTACAAATTGTCCGAATACATTTGCATAATTTCTACACTGGATTACAATCATAATAAGATTCACAAGATTCAACATCAAAATTTAAAGCAATATCGATTTTTCTTATATTAAAATACTTAGTAGTTGAAGAAGCCTCACAAAACACAATTATTGTTCTTCTCCTTGTGACGATATAATAAAAATTGGGGATATTTTATCGATGATCGACTCATTTCACTACAACTCCAACTTAAAATTCCAGAGTCTTGGGACGTGTCTTGATGTACACGTATGCGGCAATTAGCACGACAACAGCAGCCAGCGTTGGTAGAACAATAGTAAACACTCGTTGCTTATTCTCGATAAACTCCTTCCTTCGCTCCTTCTTCTGTTTATTCGTCTCTTTCGTTTTTCCCTTTAATTGGCGCATGCTTATCTAAAAAAGGAGTAATTAATTGTTTTCATGTTTTTCTCTTCAAGTTTAATTGTATTGGATAGGTAAACTGATGAAAAGATTAACAAATGAGTTGACAATTTGATAGAGTTTCATTAATTATATAATGTCTACATTTGATTTTGGAGCAAACTGTTATTATTCCAAAATATTTTCTATTCTTTTTCACGATATCCAGGATAGAGTTGGAATGTTAAATACGTTAGTCTTGTTAAATTTGCTTGTAACCCCATTTTATTGAAAGACATACACAAAGCAGCCCCATTAATCAAATAAGTGATTGGAGTCATTTTGGAGCAGCCGAACGCCGCTCCGAAATTTCTTCCGCGAAACCTCGACCATAAAAATTAAATATCCTCCCCCCCCAAAAAAATTCAATATTAACCCTTTCAAATGTCACACAATATTAAACAACAAACTACTAATTTCATATTCCCCCTTCCCTTAATATTTCTACTCTGATAGAAATATTTGCTCCGAATTTAAAACACAAGTATCAACAATTCTATTTTCGAACAGGTGACTGTCACTCCAAAATATCACTGATTCATATATCATTCTCTGCAAAATGGAATGAACAAGAGTTTCTTCAAATCAATTTTAATTGAATAATTCCAGCTCCATTAATCAAATAAGTGATTGAAGTCATTTTGGAGCAGCCGAACGCCGCTCCGAAATTTCTTCCGCGAAACCTCGACCATAAAAATTAAATATCCTCCCCCCCCAAAAAAAATTCAATATTAACCCTTTCAAATGTCACACAATATTAAACAACAAACTACTAATTTCATATTCCCCCTTCCCTTAATATTTCTACTCTGATAGAAATATTTGCTCCGAATTTAAAACACAAGTATCAACAATTCTATTTTCGAACAGGTGACTGTCACTCCAAAATATCACTGATTCATATATCATTCTCTGCAAAATGGAATAAACAAGAGTTTCTCTAAATCAAGTTTCAGTGAACAATTCCCGCTCCATTAATCAAATAAGTGATCGATGTCATTTTGGAGCGGCCGAAAGCTGCTCCAAAATTTCTTCCGCGAAATCTCGCCCAAAAAAACAAATATGCCCCCCAAAAAATTAAATGTTAACCCTTTCAAATGCCACACAATATTAAACAACAAAGTACTATTTCCAGTTTCCCCTTGCCTTGATATTTCTACTCCGATAGAAATGTCTGCTTTAAATTTAAAACACAAGTGTCAACTCAAATCAAACAATTCTATTTTGGAGCAATTTTAATTGTTACTCCAAAATATCACTCATTCATATATCATTCTCTGCAAAATGGAATAAACAAGAGTTTCTCTAAATCAAGTTTCAGTGAACAATTCCCGCTCCATTAATCAAATAAGTGATCGATGTCATTTTAGAGGAGCCGAATGCTGCTCCAAAATTTCTTCCGTGAAACCTCGATTAAAACCCAAACATCCCTTTCAAAAAATTAAATGTTAACCATTTCAAATGCCACACAATATTAAACAACAAACTACTATTTCCAGTTTCCCCTTGCCTTGATATTTCTACTTCGATAGAAATGTTTGCTCCGAATTACAACACAACCATCAACTCAAATCAAACAATTCTATTTTGGAACAATTTTAATTGTTACTCCAAAATATCACTCATTCAAATATCATTGCTTGCAAAATGGAATAAACAAGAGTTTTTCTAAATCAATTTTCATTAAATAATTCCAGCTCCATTAATCAAATAAGTGATCGACGTCAGTTTGGAGCGGCCGAAAGCTGCTCCAAAATTTCTTCCGCGAAATCTCGACCAAAAAAACAAATATGCCCCCCAAAAAATTAAATGTTAACCCTTTCAAATGCCACACAATATTAAACAACAAACTACTATTTCCAGTTTCCCCTTGCCTTGATATTTCTACTCCGATAGAAATGTTTGCTCCGAATTAAAACACAACCATCAACTCAAATCAAAGAATTCTATTTTGGAGCAATTTTAATTGTTACTCCAAAATATCACCCATTCATATATTATTCTGCAAAATGAAATAAACAAGAGTTTTTCTAAATCAATTTTCATTAAATAATTCCAGCTCCATTAATCAAATAAGTGATCGACGTCAGTTTGGAGCGGCCGAAAGCTGCTCCAAAATTTCTTCCGCGAAATCTCGACCAAAAAAACAAATATGCCCCCCAAAAAATTAAATGTTAACCCTTTCAAATGCCACACAATATTAAACAACAAACTACTATTTCCAGTTTCCCCTTGCCTTGATATTTCTACTCCGATAGAAATGTTTGCTCCGAATTAAAACACAACCATCAACTCAAATCAAAGAATTCTATTTTGGAGCAATTTTAATTGTTACTCCAAAATATCACCCATTCATATATTATTCTGCAAAATGAAATAAACAAGAGTTTTTCTAAATCAATTTTCATTAAATAATTCCAGCTCCATTAATCAAATAAGTGATCGACGTCAGTTTGGAGCGGCCGAAAGCTGCTCCAAAATTTCTTCCGCGAAATCTCGACCAAAAAAACAAATGTGTCCCCCAAAAAATTAAATGTTAACCCTTTCAAATACCACACAATATTAAACAACAAAGTACTATTTCCAGTTTCCCCTTGCCTTGATATTTCTACTTCGATAGAAATGTTTGCTCCGAATTAAAACACAAGCATGAACTCAAATCAAACAATTCTATTTTGGAGCAATTTTCATTGTTACTCCAAAATATCACTCATTCATATATCATTCTCTGCAAAATGGAATAAACAAGAGTTTCTCTAAATCAAGTTTCAGTGAACAATTCCCGCTCCATTAATCAAATAAGTGATCGATGTCATTTTAGAGGAGCCGAATGCTGCTCCAAAATTTCTTCCGTGAAACCTCGATTAAAACCCAAACATCCCTTTCAAAAAATTAAATGTTAACCATTTCAAATGCCACACAATATTAAACAACAAACTACTATTTCCAGTTTCCCCTTGCCTTGATATTTCTACTTCGATAGAAATGTTTGCTCCGAATTACAACACAACCATCAACTCAAATCAAACAATTCTATTTTGGAACAATTTTAATTGTTACTCCAAAATATCACTCATTCAAATATCATTGCTTGCAAAATGGAATAAACAAGAGTTTTTCTAAATCAATTTTCATTAAATAATTCCAGCTCCATTAATCAAATAAGTGATCGACGTCAGTTTGGAGCGGCCGAAAGCTGCTCCAAAATTTCTTCCGCGAAATCTCGACCAAAAAAACAAATGTGTCCCCCAAAAAATTAAATGTTAACCCTTTCAAATACCACACAATATTAAACAACAAAGTACTATTTCCAGTTTCCCCTTGCCTTGATATTTCTACTTCGATAGAAATGTTTGCTCCGAATTAAAACACAAGCATGAACTCAAATCAAACAATTCTATTTTGGAGCAATTTTCATTGTTACTCCAAAATATCACTCATTCATATATCATTCTCTGCAAAATGGAATAAACAAGAGTTTCTCTAAATCAAGTTTCAGTGAACAATTCCCGCTCCATTAATCAAATAAGTGATCGATGTCATTTTGGAGCAGCCGGGCGCTGCTCCAAAATTTCTTCCACCAATCCTGGGCCATAAAAATCACATATCCCGTTTAAAAATTCAACTTCGACCCTTTTAAATGCCACAGGACATTGAACAACAAATTATTAACTACGATTCCCCCTCCCCTTGCTATTTAAACTCGTACAGGAAGGCTTGCTCCGAACTAAAAATACAAAATAAATACTCCAAAGAACCAAACAAATGCTCACATTTTAAAAGTCCACGCTGGAACACTGGCTATCAATATCTGTCACAATGAACTGACAAAACGTCTAGTTGTCAATAGAATAGACCGAGTGGACGTCTATGACACGTAGATAACTGAACTGATGTCATTTCCGCACGTCTCTCCGAGGTTATGTTGTGTTAATGCAGGTGGAGACTACGCTGATCATCATAATCACTCGAAAATAGTAGTGAACAGCCATCGATTGTCAACCCCAGGGTTTTTAACTCTCGATTCAAAACATTCGACCTAAAATCATGATCAGCTGAATCTCCTCATCACGAAGTGTTGAGTGAAATCGTCGGGGAGTACGTGACTCCGCGGAGGCTCTGCTCCGAATTGCCCCGCTGTTTTTGGTTATGTAATTCCATAACGAGTTTACTGTGCTGTAATAATTAACAAATACGGGAACGACGAGTCAGAATGTCACTGAAATTTTCACGTCTTATTTGCGGAGCCTGAGACCATGATGAGGGACACAGATGACCCAATTTTGAATTCGAAACATGTTCGTAATTTATAGTATTCCGTGATTATTACCTCAGAATGTGGGAGAAGAGATAATGAGTTGAGAAAACATGTGAGAGTTGATCATTATTAGAGGTGAATATTTTTTTGCATTGGATGGAGAATGGGAAATTTTTTTCCCCCGGTTCATTTCAGGGAAATATATTTTTTTTATTTTGATAGTATTCCATGATTGTTACCTCAGAATGTGGGAGAAGAGATAATGAGTCGAGAAAACATGTGAGAGTTGATCATTTTTAGAGGTGAATATTTTTTTGCATTGGATGAAGAATGGGAAATTTTATCCTCCGGTTGATTTCAGGAAAATATATTTTTCTTATTTGGTGGAAGTGGGGAATAATTTTGGAGGACAAAATCAGTTTTACGGGGAACAATTCATCGAATTTTTTTCAAGGCGTTTTCTTGAGGAAATGTCATTCAAAATGAATCAGTTTTTCAAATATTTTGAGAAATATTTTTCGATATTTACATTTACAATTTTTTCGATATTAAAATGAGAGAGAATTTTCAATGTATTTAAGAAGTCAATTGTTGAATTTTTGGAATGAGCACATGATTTTGCAGATATCTCTCTTCAACTCGCAGATTTATCGAAATTCATGAAAAGGTTTTTTCTGCAAGAACACCTCAAATTTATAGAATTAAGATAAGATAACTTTTACGTAATTTTACGATTAAATCAGGTTAAAATTCCCTCGCAGAAAACTGCTGTATCAATCTGGAGTTTTTTATAACTTTCTAGAACCTTCCATGATTTTTCGAAGCATTATTCTAACGGTTTTTAGAATATTCCATTATTCTGGTAAATTCTGCCTCAGAAAATCGTCGAGTTTTTTAGACGACGCGCGTATTTTCCAGATAATTTTGTACCGTTCTAAATCTTTCTTGAACTCCCTGCAATTTTCCATAAATTTCCGGACAAACGGACATTCCGAATTATATAAAAAATTACATAAAACAAGATTGTCACTAAATTACAGGAAAATCCCACAGATTTTTACGAATCTATCACAGAATTTCAGTGACAGATTCTTAAGAATCCATGACACGTTCCTGAAAATCAAAAAAATTGTTTTCTCTGCCCTCAAACGAAAAAGGCAAATAAACTCTTATCACTAAACCCATCTCTAATTTTAATGAATCCAACGTCGAATTTCAGTGAATAGATTTCTAAAAATCAGTGACACATTCCCGAAAACGAAAATTTGTTGTCTCGCCGATCAAAATAAAATGCCAAACCCCAAAATTTCCAGCAAATAACATTCAACCTTTAATTTCCCATCACCCCGTCATCTCTAAAAATTCTCATTCCAGATAAACCACTGGACACAACAATGTCCACCCCCCCAACCTGGTCGAGAACGGAGTACTCTCCAGTTCCCTCGGTCTCCGCCGCCGACCTGGAAGTGGAGCACCCGAATGCACGAGCCCAAGAAGTAACAATAGGCACCCTCCTAAAATTGACATCAAACGACACCCGTGAATTCATCTGCGGCTGGGGCGCAGCTGTGATAAACGTAACCGTGACGTACCCCATAAACAAGATAATATTCCGTCAGATTCTGGAGGCAGTTCCCGCGACAACAGCAGTGAGACAATTGTCGCGCGAGGGATTGGGTCTGTTGTACCGAGGAATTCTCCCTCCCCTGTGTCAAAAGACTCTCTCCCTGTCAATAATGTTCTCAGTGTACGAGGGAAGTAGAACGAGACTGACAATTCTCACTCATCACCCTGTTTTTTCGAAAATCATCGCTGCCAACTTCGCCGGCGGGGTTGAGGCCATTCTCATGCCCCTGGAGAGAGTGCAGACCCTCCTCCAGGACTGGAGGTATCACAATAAGTTTAAGAATACTCCTGACGCATTCAAGTACCTTCTCAGTCATCACGGAGTCACCGAGTGCTACAGGGGACTAGTTCCCATAATAATGAGAAATGGCTTATCCAATCTCACTTTTTTCACACTGAGGGATCAGTCGAAGGAGATCCTCGGTGATGAGCGAACTTTATTCTCTAACTTCGTGACTGGAGCCCTCATCGGAGGCTTCACGAGCACTTTATTCTACCCCATGAATGTCATTAAGATTCACATGCAGTCGAAAATCGGGGGGGACTTTGAGAAATTGAGTGTTTCGCTGAGGGACGTTTGGATCAGCAGGAATAGGAGCGTTAGGAGCTTTTATCAGGGGGTGCATTTGAATTATATGAGGTCTTTCATCAGCTGGGGCGTCATCAATGCTGCCTATGATTTTTTGAAGACCATTGTTTTTTAATTAGGGGTTCTGTGGGAAGTGGTGGGGGGACATGGGAAGAGGAAGGGTGGGTTATTCACGAGAGTTTATCTCGTAAATATTTGTTGAGAGGGGCATGAGACACTTTTTGACGTGAATAGGTCTATGGTTTCAATATGGGGGGGTCATTTTGGGAAACTGTTCTTATGTGCAGCACCATCTGTCGGAATTCTAGAAAATTCTAGACATTTCGGGATAAATCGAAACGTTTCTTGAAATTTCGAACAAATTCAAGGTGTTTCTAGAAATTTCGAGGGAATTCAAGGAATTTCGTGAAAATTCGAGGGAATGCAAGAAGTTTCTAGTAAATTCGAGAAAGAAGGAAACAACATGGACGTATCCACGTAGAATTACTGCTGTATCGAAGATAGAGCCGCCTGCAATTTTATGAGAATTTTGGGCTGGTGACGATTCTTTGGGTTTTGGAAGATTCTATTGTTTATAAACAATATCTAATAGGAAGTCTTTTATAAAATTACTCAGTAGAATTTCATGTTTCTGTACATTTTTTCTATTGAGGAACTTTTTATAGAAATTCTTCAACATGAATTTTCTATTTTTTTCCACTTCGTTATTCTTCTGTATACATTTGATAAATCAAGCGAAATAATGGAGGTTTTGAGCCGAGGAATTTCTACAGAAAATGTCTCGATAGAATATGTTGAATAGAAAAATAGAATTTTTAATTTAAATTCTCGTGTATTAAAATTTTTCTTAATCAACTTTTACGTGGAATATTTCCAAAAACAACGCGCAAATAAGCTGTGGAATTCTTTACTACAATCGACCAAAAACTAATAGAAATCCAATAGAATTTCCTAGCAAATTCGCAAAGTTTTTCCATGAATTTTTTTCGCACGTCGCAAAAAAAATCGAATGCCTTCTTTCGATGAATTTGATGGTTTGGGCGATATCTGAGGAATAGGTGAACGTATTTTGGATTTCTTCCACCACTTCACGACTTATTTCAATACCTAAGAAAATTTAGGAGTTAAAAAATACCTAGAACAATTTAATGCTCAGTGTTACAATCCGCAAGGATGGCTTAAATTTTTTACATACAGGGATGACGCGGGGGTGGGTGGGGATTATTTTGTACAGTTGTAGCAAATTGGACAGTGCAGATGACTTTATTTTTTCTTTATGAATTCTCTTTGTCTCTTTTTATTTATTTTTATGAGAGAGTGCCTAGGGTCAACGCCTAGGATCAACGAATTTCTGTGTATGATGTTTTAGGATAATCAGTTAAATTGTGTTGTACAGAAATATATTGATTGGTTAATCGACACGAGTGGATTTATTTCATGACAAGGTATTTGGTGGTATTGTGAGACTGCAAAGCTCGGATTGTGGGATTTGCTGTGAAACTGGATAGCCAGTATGTACCTTTCGTGAGTTTTGTGTCACGCGACGTAGTGACGGGGTCAACAAACCCATGGGCATTGGGTATTTTTATTTATCAAATGACAATCTAGGATTATTTTGGAGAACTATTTTTACTCGGAATGAAAACCTGATTCTTCTTTTCATTTCTATTCACATAAAGGGAATAGTTTTAAAAAAACAAAAACAAATTATTTCTTGAGCTAAATAAAGCCTTTAAGGATATCCAAGTGTCACACTATCTTTTTGATATTTTTTTTACAAATTTTATGCGAATAACTAACAAACTCCTGAGGTAATCGTTTGCGCGATCTAATCAGTTCTAAGTTATATGAAGACGCATTGAAAAAAAAATGGATCGGTTCATTAGTTCAGGAGAAATCGTTTCAGGATGAATTAAGACATCCTGAAACTTGGACAAATCATCGAAATTCAACATTTCATTTTCGGGGTCATTACAACAACTTCTGGTTTTCTGAACAGACTTTTCTGACCCTTGTAATTATTTCAAAAATCAGATGACAACAGGTTAACGGCGTGGAAATGAAGTTGAAGCAAAGAATTCTTCAACTTCAACTTCATTTTCTCTAAATAAAATTGCTGAAGACCGTTTAAACCCACCTGTTGTCACTTGATTTTTGAAATAAGGGTTTTCTTTCCTTAAAATCGACAATTTCTCTGCCGATACTTCAAATTTCCCTGACCTCCTCCCGCGCACTCAATCGGGCGCACCTTGCGTGGTCCCGAATGCGCAGTAAATCCCTCCCCCAACCACTTAAAAAAATGAGGATAAAAAAACCTCAAGAATTTGGGTGCACAGAAGCAGTTGAAGCCAGTGGATGGGGCAAACGCAGGGCGAGAGGAGCGTCACGATGAATAGATCGTTCTCGCTGCTCCAAATGTCGCTTTGACAGTTGACGGGTTGTAGAATTCCCAGTGACACCGGATGAGGTGCTCTAGAATTACGTGCTACAGTTATCAAACAGACGCCAGCCTCGAGAATCGATAGGCGGGTCTGAGAATTAAAAAAAAACAATCATCAAGACTCAGGGATGAATAAAGAGTCGTAGAAAGTAAATACAAGGGAGGGAAAAATGTTGGTTACGAGGTGCATTTGTGTCGGGAAGTCACTCGAGTCCCTTCTCGAAACTATGCGCTATTTCTGGATTACGACGGGTGCATCAGGTCGCTATTTTGTATAGATAAAATAATGAGAATCAACGCGACGAAGATGAGTACTCCGATCGAGGAGAAGATTGATCAGAAACTCAAGGTATTGATTGTCAAATTCTAATCTTTTTATTCTCATTTTTTGAATAATTCTGGGGGGAAAATTGTGCCCAACGGGTGTATTTCTCTGCCGGTCGATCACTCGGACCTCTCTACCCACTTTTTATTTCACTATTATCGAAATCAATAAGTCGAGTATACCCTTGGAGCGCTTTATCGTTTCTACGACCGCGATTTAACCGCTCTCGTGTCTATACTTCATGCCTAGATTAATCTTTAAAGGGGAGGAGCATGGCTAACGGTTTAATGAGGATTCGAAATTATTTATATTTGGGGGGGAGATCTTGTATTTCAGGGGTTTTTTCTCGAGTCGTTTTTAGTATTTATTTATTTATTTATTTATGTATTTATTTATTTATTTATTTATTTATTTATTTATTTATTTATTTATTTATTTAGCTTTATGACTATGTCCTGGGGTAACAATCACCTCCTAAGGACAACCCAAAAATGTTACATGAATTAATTAGCCTACATAGAATTAGAGTATAACTGAACTCTGAATCTAAAATTTGAATAATTAGGATGTTGCGATTTCAGACATTTGCATCTACAAGTTTAATGACTTCTTCCGCTGTTCGAGGGTTTCTGCTTGGGTTTTTATATTCTGGGGGAGGGGGATTTTTATACTTGAATATGGAGGAGGTTGAATATGTTACAATAGGATCATTCTTCAGGTCCGGACGGGCATGGTTACTGTCAGCGATGGCAAGAGCAAACCGGTACCCATGCGATTGCATTTGTCGATGGAAGTGCTCAAGCTACAGCGGGAAGATTTAGAGGTAAAATTGCTTCCTTTTATTGCAGTTGAGACTGAGTTTTTTCTCGGGTGACGGGGGTGGGGTAATAATGGGATTTTTGAGAATTTGGAGAACAGTATTTTATGTAGTTTGATAGTATGCGCGCAAACATTTGGAGATGTTTTTGATAGATCTCTGGTGGATATGGCAATAAGTCTATTGGAATTTACTATATTTTAGTGATAGTAATGATGATGATAATGATAGAATTTTTGGAATGTAATTTGTGAATTTTAATTATGATTTTTTGGTAGATTTCTGGTTAATGTTAGATTTTTTGAGTAATTTTGAACGAAATTTTATTTTGTGCAACTGTCATTCTCCTCTCGGGTTCCATTTGGATAAATTTGGACTGAATTAAATATTTAAAACATTGTGTGAAAGTAGAAATAAAATGCGCAAATGTCACAATATTTATTTAATTAATTTCGCTTACTTTACCTCGTTTTCTGAATAAAATATACTAAAATACATTTTAATGATATCCAATTATCTTTTACAGTTAATTCGGTACCGACCACACTATAGACTAGACCATTTTCAATCATCAAATTTGTCAATTAAATTGCGTGAGAAAAATTCAAAAAAAAATCACGAATGCTCAACGTCATTAAAATTACATTTTCCATAGAATTATTATTTCTTTACACATTCGTGGTGCATAAATAAATAATTGAAATTGTTTAAACTTTCGAAAACTTTATTTTTTGTGAATAAATTTGTTACGATTCCGAACCAATGATTTTTATGGTGCAAAATTTATTGATTATAAATTATTTATAGAAAAAGGTGGTAATTTTCAAAACTACAATTTTTTAATAGAATGTGATAATAATATTTAATAGAAAACAATTTTTTTTTTGAATATTTTCTAACGGTTCAATATCGAGATTCGAATTCAGACTTGCAAAGTTTAAATAATAAAATCAAATGGGGCTCAAATGAACGCTTTGATGATCGACTACAAAAGTAGGAAAGAATTTCACTGGAGAAAAAGTAGCCAAAGTAGAGTGAACAGGCCAATTGCTGGACGGTTAAGGGAAATTCGAGTGATAGGATGAAAAAAATCCCCTAAATGGGGATGTGATGGCTTCCATACCTTCAAGAATATTTTAATTACCAGAAAAAACATTGTTTAAAGTGAAAATACCAAAACAAAGAATAACTAAATTAAGAAATAAGTAGAATGCAGCCGAAGTCTCCAATTTTTGGACGACTGGGCCATATTTTGTCAATTTATTAAACTTCGATCAGTAGAAAAAATAATTGATCACGTGATAATACACGAGTAATATTCTTGGAAGGTGAAACAATCAGTACAATTTTCATTTGATTTATAGAATATTCAATGCATGTTGAAACCGTCCAGAAATTGACCTGCACGGAGAGAAATTTTCTATAAAAATTCTAGTACGAGTACTGGAAAAAATGACAATCCACCGGCTGTGAAAAATTCTAGTGCTGTTAAGGTAAAATTTCTTGGTATTTCTGGTAAAATTTCAGGGGATTTCTGTGAAATTTTCACAAAAATACGGGGAAAAATTCACGTTTTCCCCAATAAAATTTCTAGTGCTGGCATTAGAATTTTTTCCTGGCCGTCACTTTGCGTCTCTTTCCCGGTGTAGCACTAGAATTTTCCTAAAAAATTTCTCTCCGTGTGCTTACCCTACTGGGATATTCTTAAAAAAACATGGGGAAAAAAAATTTAGTATGTGTATTGCCCATTAGCAGGCAGCGAATCACAACAAGCCGCCGCTGGACGCTAAAGAGCGAATGGTGCAGATAACACGTCAAAAAGTTGGTGGACTTGGTCTGAGTATCAAGGGCGGTGCTGAGCACAAACTGCCAGTGCTCATATCACGAATATACAAGAGTCAAGCGGCAGACCAGTGCGGTCAATTGTTTGTTGGAGATGCAATTATCAAAGGTGAATGAAACATGCCCTTATTTCTGTACGACTCGACAATTCCCAGTATTCTTTGTACATTCAAATAGGCCAGTACGTCTATGAATATTTCATACCCCCAGCACAACCGATCGGGCTTCATGCCCCCTTGGGGTACAATTGACTTGGACAGCTTCTCCGATAGTTGAAAGTATTCATATATCGTAGGCTCGTCACAATGAATCTTTTATGGTAAAACTGGTCTATTTATCGGGCGATCATGTCTCATTACTGAGTTAAAAAGTCTTCGGGCTTATCGGCTATTGTTGATTTTATTGGATTTTCTGGGTAATTCGATATTCACACGTTGGCCAATCGCTTTAGGAAGGTTTTGTCCATTGAGGGGAGGGTTTAAGTGGTTTTTTGGAATGAAGTGTTTTGTTATGTTCGGAGATGGCTAGAGTTTCGCAGGGGCAAGATTTATAAATTATCGAAGTATTATTTTTTTTAATTGTCCATACAATATTTAAAATATTTTTTTCACTCTTTCAGAAACATTTTTCGGGCTATTTCACATGAATGTCGCAAATTTTTATATGAAACAGAACGAAATTAGCTGTGTAAGAGTCGAATTTCAAAAAACTAATTCGTAATTGTTATTGTCTCAAAAATTCTTGTACTCCACACTGAGAGAAAAACGACAAAGTTCTCAAACAAGTCTTGCTTGTGCCAAGAAAATAGTTTTTTGAAAATTATCAAAAAAGGGATTTTTTTGGGCCAAACATGCAGAGTGCGCCGGAACGAAAAATTTTTGTCGCAAAAATAGATTTAGTAGTTAAAAAAAAATTGCATTCTCTGTACACGCAAGAAATGTCAGTTCTAGCACTACTCTTTCGTTGTTCGATACTCTTATACGTATTTTGCTCCCGAAAAATCTTTGTTTCATGCGAAACAAGGAATAGTAGTTTTTCGGCTGTCTAATAATCACAGACAAGAAATGAACCCTTAAATGAAACAATAATAATGATCTGATAGGAATCTTGTAACTTAAGGATAAAATATTTGTTGATAAATTTTCCTTTATGTGAGATATTTTCAACCTGAAAAGGCACCGTCTGGTGTGAATTATTCGCCTCTTGAGCCAAATATTTCATTGCTGTCGAAAGCAGAACAATTATTCATGTTTGAGACTTTCAAATTCGAACTAAACAAATTCTTTTTTGGCAGTTTTCAACTAGCGATTTTGTTGGCCCAAACAAGACTTGTTTGACAACGTGTTTGTTTTTCTCTCAGTGCCCAGAAAATTTGCCTGTGCTGGTACAGTAATTTTTCTGGAATTTTTCTCCGTCCCGCTCACCATTCAATTAGAATCGAGTTATGTGAAGACGCATCGATTATGCAAAATTAATTCATATCCCATCGTTGTCCCAAAAAAAAATTTAGCATTCGCAAAAATGTTTTTCACAACAATTTCACCACCCCCTCTGGATTCAAATATTCCATACGCATCGCATTTTACCACTGCACTACTGAATTTATTCGAGGCAATTAAAATTTCCCCCTTGAAATTACTGATAAACTGCGGATGGGATGCATCATGCTAATGAAGTTGGAATCGTTGAAGATTTCATCCCGTGAATTTACATTTTACATGAAAAGATGAAAAATACTGGAGTTAGAAATGCTCATCTCCGACTCTTCAATGTTCCTCCAGTCTCCCAGACTCCCCTCATTAAATATAGCTCTCTGTAAATTCGATTTTCACTGCATTTATGGCTCTCAAATATTCATTGATTGAAATAGTTGACTGCTTGCTTGGGATATCCAATAGCTGGGAGTATTAAAATATGGTCGAGATGTCACTGCCAATCGCTCGTGATAAATCGTTTATTCATTGGCTTCGTGTCATATCTGGAGTGCAGAAGTATCTCATATCTACTGTCATTTCTATATCTGCGGTATATCTGCCAGACATTTTATTCAATTTCGTTACCAATTATGCATTCACTTTTTGGTGTGTTTAGAATATTTTTTTTTCTGTACTGAATGCAGGACTCAACGGAATTACCCTAGAACTTTTTGTTGAGCTGAGAGTCATGCTGATGAAGTTGAATATTTGTGGAGGAGTTTCACGTTATTGATTTTTCAGAGAAGAAATAACAGTGAAGTTGGGAATACTCGATCTTTTCCACGCTTCTCACCTTCACTCTGTTTTTATTCAATTAGCGCTTCATACAAATTCAATTTTAAGTGCATCTGTGACACTCGCCGCAAAGGAAGAAGTTATCTCATTCATTCAAATGAGATGGGTCAGTTCAACTTGATGATAACAAAGGAATTGTCATTCAATCCTCATTTAATATTTCGTTACGCACGCAGTCAGAGGATTTTCTGTCATTTTTACAACAGAAAACTTGATCGTAAAAATAAGGAAAGAAAAAAATACAGAAAATTTGAGCCGGTGAATTTTTATAGACAATTTGACAATAGAATAAGTTTCGTTAAGAAAATCGAATTCTATTGAAGTTTTTTTTACGCTTTTCACCTGCAATCTGTTTTTATTCAATTAGTGCTTTATCCAAATTCAATTTTAAGTGACACTCTCCGAATAGGAAGAACAGAGGAATTGTCATTCAATCCTCATTTAATATTTCGTTACGCACGCAGTTTTAGGAGGATTACCTCATTTTTCCAATAGAAAATTAGATCTTAAAAATAAGGGAAGAAAAAAATATAGAAAATTTGAGACGGGGAATTTCTATAGAAAATGTGGCAACAAAATAAGTTGTAGTAAAAAAATGAATTCCATTGAGTTATTCTATAGAGCATTTTCTACTGAATGCGTCCATTGAATAAAATCGCAGACAAGCTGCGTAATTTGTTAATAGAATCGGCCAAAATCAGACAGAAATTTCAACAGTTACTCGTTCCTGTGAAGTTTGAGAAGATAACCGATAATAATGACCGGAGATTGAGTAAATACACTGAATACAGAACCAGATTTTCCCCTGATCCTTACCATCATATTTTTATACTTCAATTTCCTCTTTCTCATCTTATAAATCCTCTGCATTCAATGTCTCCAATTTTTTAAAAGCTATCCCGACTAGTTCGTTGCAACTCCCAAAGAAATTGGTTTCTTATCTGTAGCAAATTGACAAAAGGAAAAACTTCCTAGAGCATTCTTTTCACCATCGCCAACAGCGAGAACACAATTCCTAATATTTTATCAACCCATGTTTTAAAAAGTTTTGGTGAAAAAAAATTGGTATCCACTTTTAACAAATCCAGTGTAACGATTTTTGAAGCCTCGATTCCGCTTATCAATTAATGTAATATATCTAAGTATATTTTTCTTCATGTACTGTAATCTTTTATTTACAGTAATAATTGAAAAAAAAGAGAAATTCATTCTTTACTGTAATAAAAAGTATATAAGATAGTATATATGTATTTAGTACATAATACATCCCTACAAATAAAATCGTTCCTCCCTCGTAAAAAGCAAAAGGGAAACGAAGAAGAAGATGAAGAGGATTATGACGATTCCGAATAAATTATTCAACAATTAAATTCTCATTGTGAGGAACTTTGTTGAAACCATTCATTTTTCCGCCATTATTACAGAGAAATTACATATCTTTTCCGTAATTCCGGAGCGAAATGTGGTTGCAGGAAATTTTCCGTAATTTTTATTTGAATCTGTGAAAAATTACGATACCGTCACTTAAATTTGCAGAGTCGACTCCGTAATCAGTGAGCGAATTGTGAGTTCCGTAATTTTTACTGAACATTTCGAGAAACGGTAAGGTTTTACTATTCCGGCACCCACGAAACAATACGCGCGTTTCGCGCGCGCCCTGTTCTATTTCTCTAAAACTGAGATACAGTGAGTTTTTTTTTAAACAATTATCGGTCTTCACATGCCTGGAACATTGAGGAATTACAAGGAGCTCTTCCCTTCAATAACCCGCGGCCCTCAGGCTTCCCCTTGAAAAAAAATCTGACCTCCCAAGTAAATTAATTAACCTCCCAATGATCTATATAAATCCAATCGCCTTCACCTGATTTCAGTAAATGGTGAATACATAACAGCCTGCAATCACGACGACGCTGTAAATATCCTCCGTAACGCCGGCGACATCGTAGTTCTGACAGTGAAGCATTACCGTGCAGCAAAGCCATTTCTCCAAAAGAACGGTAAGTCATAAAAATTAATCGATCCCCTTCTTGCAATTCCCAATCTCTAATTGGTATCTCTCGAGCAATAGAAAAAGAGGAGAAATTGGATAACGCAGCGAACGGTGATGACGAGGAGGAGTGGGTGTCCCCCAATAGACGATCTGGCAGTCCTCAGAGTGGACACAGTAGACATGGATCGAACACGTCCTCATCGTCGACCCACTTGAAGAAATGGGTCGACGTCATCACAGGTGAGAGATTTTACATCTATCCGTCGCCGCTCTTTCCTTAATATTTCACAGGCTGTCACATGAAAAGACCCGCTGATTAACGATTTTTCTTCACACAAAATCCCTTTCAGTACCTTTAATGATGGCTTATGTCACAAGATACATATTTGGGACTGACAAGCTGAGGAGAAATGCATTTGAAGTGAGGGGACTCAATGGGGCGAGAACGGGGGTTATTCACTGCGATGATAGTGCTATACTCAGTCAGTGGCTCAAGTACATCACTGACAACATCACAGGGCTTACGCATTTGCAGGTAATGAGCAATTGCTAATTGGGGCGGGGGGGTAATTGGATGTTTTTGGGGAGAAAGAGAGGATGCGAGTGGGGGGTGAAGAGATGGGGGGGATTTAATGGTGAAGTGGCGAAATGAGATTAGTTGATCTCACTTTGAAGTCGGATTCTAGAAGATTTGCGAACCTTTTTCGTTAATTGCTAGCTTTTTGAAAAACACCAAGTATAGTTCTCAAATTGGAAGTTGCGTTCATTCGCTTTAGAAAAAACTTTTGAGTTTTAAAATTCTCTGGGAACTCTGAATGAAGATGGTGGAGTTTCTATGAAAATCCATTAGCAGCGATTGTTGAGGATATCCTAGTGTCTTTTAGAGTTTGGCACAGACCAGACTATAGATTCAGCCGTTTTCAATTATCAAATTTGTTAATTAAATAGCGTGAGAAAAATTTGAAAAAAATCATGAATATTCAGCGTCTGTATCAATCTATCTAAATGATATTTGGCACAAAAATATTATTTTTTAAATATTCGTTGTTTATAAATAAATAATTGAAATTGTTTAAACTTTCGGAAACCTTATCTTTTTAGGCATGAAATCCATTTCCGGTAAAATTCTGAATGTGAATGAATTTGGTACGATCCCAACAGATGATTTTTATGGAATAAAATAAAATACTTGTAATCTTCAAAAATTGCAATTTTTAAATTATTTCATCATCTTCCTCCAACAGTAAACTTTCCAATTTCCTTTCAGATTTTTAAAATATTATCTAGCGGTTCAATATCGAAATTCAAATTCAGACCTGCAAAGTTTAAATAATAAAATCAATGTAAAATATCCGAAAACTTGGGGTCAAATGGGGCTCAAATGAAAGCTCTGATGTTCGACCACAGAAGTAGAAAAGCATTCCACTGGAGAAAAATAGCCAAAGTACTTGGATATTCTCAACACCTTTGAAATCTATCTTGTTAGAACCCCATTCATCTAGACTCGAGCATTTCATCAATAAAGAAAACCCATTCACTCTATTTGTAGATTTACCTAAAAAATGTTGATCAATAAAGAACCTCTCGATTCATGACTAAAAAGTGAACAATTTCGTCTGTAGTTGTGGTCTTTCGCAAACACGTCCTTCCAACGGAGTACACTGAAATAACGGTTTGCTAATGGCGATCGATCATCCCCTAATGAGGGAAATTCACGATTCTATTAATTACAGATGAAACTCTACAATCGTAATTTCGGGGTCGGCGAACGCATAGAGTACATGGGATGGGTGAACGAGGCAGTTAGCAACAGTAACCAGCCCTGGCAGAGTTACAGACCGAGATTTCTCGCTCTCAAGGGCCCCGATCTCCTGCTCTTCGAAACACCACCTGTAATTCCATGATCAATTTTCCAATAGTGAATAATTAATTGCATTAATTATGACTGACGTTGAATCCATGATTCTATTTGCAGTGCAATATTGGAGATTGGTCTCGTTGTGCACTTACGTTTAAAGTTTACCAGACGATGTTTCGAGTGATGAGAGAGTCGGAGAATGTCGACGAGAGACAGCATTGCTTTTTAGCACAGAGTCCTGGAAAACCACCGCGTTACTTGAGTGTGGAAACGAGGCAGGAACTGTTGAGAGTCGAGGCTGCATGGCACACGGCTGTTTGCTCTGCTGTTACACATTTGAAGGTAGACGTTACGTTGAATTCAATGAGAATATTAAACATGTACTTTTTAATGGTTGAATAGTGGTGGAGTTTTATTTAAATCATTGAGGGAGATGTTCACTTTGATAATTTCACTGGAAAAAGTTAACGAATTACTTTTTCAATTGAAGAAAAGGATTATTCATTGCGGGAGTTATGCCTTGGCAGAAAAAAAATTGAGGGAAGGCTTTTGAAGATGCCATTTTCCAGATGAGTAGCACTGCTGTGATTTGTTAGTTAATGAAATGACAAATTCACAATGATGTCACTGATTTTAATTTTTTGAAGTTGAATTAAAAAATTTACCTTGAAAAAAATAAAATTCAATTTTAAAGTTAAATAAAATTTTGAAAATATGGAAATTCGGGCAACTTTTGGAAGAGTCATTTTCCAGGCCAGTGAATTACAAAATTATGTATTTGATAGGTACAATAAATGAGCATTCTCATGAAATTTTATGATGCGCATGGCTCATTTGAAGGTAGAAGTCATTTCGTTGAATTCAGTGAGAATATTAAACATGTACTTTTTAATGGTTGAATAGTGGTGGAGTTTTATTTAAATCATTGAGGGAGATGTTCACTTTGATAATTTCACTGGGAAAAGTTAACGAATTACTTTTTCAATTGAGGAAAAGGATTATTCATTGCGGGAGTTATTTCTTGGCAGAAAAAAAATTGAGGGAAGGCTTTTGAAGATGCCATTTTCCAGATGAGTAGCACTGCTGTGATTTGTTAGTTAATGAAATGACAAATTCACAATGATGTCACTGATTTTAATTTTTTGAAGTTGAATTAAAAAATTTACCTTGAAAAAAATAAAATTCAATTTTAAAGTTAAATAAAATTTTGAAAATATGGAAATTCGGGCAACTTTTGGAAGAGTCATTTTCCAGGCCAGTGAATTACAAAATTACGTATCTGATAGATACAATAAATGAGCATTCTCATGAAATTTTATGATGCGCATGGCTCATTTGAAGGTAGAAGTCATTTCGTTGAATTCAGTGAGAATATTAAACATGTACTTTTTAATGGTTGAATAGTGGTGGAGTTTTATTTAAATCATTGAGGGAGATGTTCACTTTGATAATTTCACTGGGAAAAGTTAACGAATTACTTTTTCAATTGAGGAAAAGGATTATTCACTGCGGGAGTTATTTCTTGGCAGAAAAAATATTGAGGGAAGGCTTTTGAAGATGCCATTTTCCAGATGAGTAACACTGCTGTGATTTATTAATTAATGAAATGACAAATTTACAATGATGTCTCTGATTTTAATTTTTTGAAGTTGAATTAAAAAATTTAACTTGAAAAAATTAAAATTCAATTTTAAAGTTAAATAAAATTTTGAAAATATTCGAGCAACTTTTGGAAGAGTCATTTTCCAGGCCAGTGAATTACAAAATTACGTATCTGATAGATACAATAAATGAGCATTCTCATGAAATTTTATGATGCGCATGGCTCATTTGAAGGTAGAAGTCATTTCGTTGAATTCAGTGAGAATATTAAACATGTACTTTTTAATGGTTGAATAGTGGTGGAGTTTTATTTAAATCATTGAGGGAGATGTTCACTTTGATAATTTCACTGGGAAAAGTTAACGAATTACTTTTTCAATTGAGGAAAAGGATTATTCATTGCGGGAGTTATTTCTTGGCAGAAAAAAAATTGAGGGAAGGCTTTTGAAGATGCCATTTTCCAGATGAGTAGCACTGCTGTGATTTGTTAGTTAATGAAATGACAAATTCACAATGATGTCACTGATTTTAATTTTTTGAAGTTGAATTAAAAAATTTACCTTGAAAAAAATAAAATTCAATTTTAAAGTTAAATAAAATTTTGAAAATATGGAAATTCGGGCAACTTTTGGAAGAGTCATTTTCCAGGCCAGTGAATTACAAAATTACGTATCTGATAGATACAATAAATGAGCATTCTCATGAAATTTTATGATGCGCATGGCTCATTTGAAGGTAGAAGTCATTTCGTTGAATTCAGTGAGAATATTAAACATGTACTTTTTAATGGTTGAATAGTGGTGGAGTTTTATTTAAATCATTGAGGGAGATGTTCACTTTGATAATTTCACTGGGAAAAGTTAACGAATTACTTTTTCAATTGAGGAAAAGGATTATTCATTGCGGGAGTTATTTCTTGGCAGAAAAAAAATTGAGGGAAGGCTTTTGAAGATGCCATTTTCCAGATGAGTAGCACTGCTGTGATTTGTTAGTTAATGAAATGACAAATTCACAATGATGTCACTGATTTTAATTTTTTGAAGTTGAATTAAAAAATTTACCTTGAAAAAAATAAAATTCAATTTTAAAGTTAAATAAAATTTTGAAAATATGGAAATTCGGGCAACTTTTGGAAGAGTCATTTTCCAGGCCAGTGAATTACAAAATTATGTATTTGATAGGTACAATAAATGAGCATTCTCATGAAATTTTATGATGCGCATGGCTCATTTGAAGGTAGAAGTCATTTCGTTGAATTCAGTGAGAATATTAAACATGTACTTTTTAATGGTTGAATAGTGGTGGAGTTTTATTTAAATCATTGAGGGAGATGTTCACTTTGATAATTTCACTGGGAAAAGTTAACGAATTACTTTTTCAATTGAGGAAAAGGATTATTCATTGCGGGAGTTATTTCTTGGCAGAAAAAAAATTGAGGGAAGGCTTTTGAAGATGCCATTTTCCAGATGAGTAGCACTGCTGTGATTTGTTAGTTAATGAAATGACAAATTCACAATGATGTCACTGATTTTAATTTTTTGAAGTTGAATTAAAAAATTTACCTTGAAAAAAATAAAATTCAATTTTAAAGTTAAATAAAATTTTGAAAATATGGAAATTCGGGCAACTTTTGGAAGAGTCATTTTCCAGGCCAGTGAATTACAAAATTACGTATCTGATAGATACAATAAATGAGCATTCTCATGAAATTTTATGATGCGCATGGCTCATTTGAAGGTAGAAGTCATTTCGTTGAATTCAGTGAGAATATTAAACATGTACTTTTTAATGGTTGAATAGTGGTGGAGTTTTATTTAAATCATTGAGGGAGATGTTCACTTTGATAATTTCACTGGGAAAAGTTAACGAATTACTTTTTCAATTGAGGAAAAGGATTATTCATTGCGGGAGTTATTTCTTGGCAGAAAAAAAATTGAGGGAAGGCTTTTGAAGATGCCATTTTCCAGATGAGTAGCACTGCTGTGATTTGTTAGTTAATGAAATGACAAATTCACAATGATGTCACTGATTTTAATTTTTTGAAGTTGAATTAAAAAATTTACCTTGAAAAAAATAAAATTCAATTTTAAAGTTAAATAAAATTTTGAAAATATGGAAATTCGGGCAACTTTTGGAAGAGTCATTTTCCAGGCCAGTGAATTACAAAATTATGTATTTGATAGGTACAATAAATGAGCATTCTCATGAAATTTTATGATGCGCATGGCTCATTTGAAGGTAGAAGTCATTTCGTTGAATTCAGTGAGAATATTAAACATGTACTTTTTAATGGTTGAATAGTGGTGGAGTTTTATTTAAATCATTGAGGGAGATGTTCACTTTGATAATTTCACTGGGAAAAGTTAACGAATTACTTTTTCAATTGAGGAAAAGGATTATTCATTGCGGGAGTTATTTCTTGGCAGAAAAAAAATTGAGGGAAGGCTTTTGAAGATGCCATTTTCCAGATGAGTAGCACTGCTGTGATTTGTTAGTTAATGAAATGACAAATTCACAATGATGTCACTGATTTTAATTTTTTGAAGTTGAATTAAAAAATTTACCTTGAAAAAAATAAAATTCAATTTTAAAGTTAAATAAAATTTTGAAAATATGGAAATTCGGGCAACTTTTGGAAGAGTCATTTTCCAGGCCAGTGAATTACAAAATTACGTATCTGATAGATACAATAAATGAGCATTCTCATGAAATTTTATGATGCGCATGGCTCATTTGAAGGTAGAAGTCATTTCGTTGAATTCAGTGAGAATATTAAACATGTACTTTTTAATGGTTGAATAGTGGTGGAGTTTTATTTAAATCATTGAGGGAGATGTTCACTTTGATAATTTCACTGGGAAAAGTTAACGAATTACTTTTTCAATTGAGGAAAAGGATTATTCATTGCGGGAGTTATTTCTTGGCAGAAAAAAAATTGAGGGAAGGCTTTTGAAGATGCCATTTTCCAGATGAGTAGCACTGCTGTGATTTGTTAGTTAATGAAATGACAAATTCACAATGATGTCACTGATTTTAATTTTTTGAAGTTGAATTAAAAAATTTACCTTGAAAAAAATAAAATTCAATTTTAAAGTTAAATAAAATTTTGAAAATATGGAAATTCGGGCAACTTTTGGAAGAGTCATTTTCCAGGCCAGTGAATTACAAAATTATGTATTTGATAGGTACAATAAATGAGCATTCTCATGAAATTTTATGATGCGCATGGCTCATTTGAAGGTAGAAGTCATTTCGTTGAATTCAGTGAGAATATTAAACATGTACTTTTTAATGGTTGAATAGTGGTGGAGTTTTATTTAAATCATTGAGGGAGATGTTCACTTTGATAATTTCACTGGGAAAAGTTAACGAATTACTTTTTCAATTGAGGAAAAGGATTATTCATTGCGGGAGTTATTTCTTGGCAGAAAAAAAATTGAGGGAAGGCTTTTGAAGATGCCATTTTCCAGATGAGTAGCACTGCTGTGATTTGTTAGTTAATGAAATGACAAATTCACAATGATGTCACTGATTTTAATTTTTTGAAGTTGAATTAAAAAATTTACCTTGAAAAAAATAAAATTCAATTTTAAAGTTAAATAAAATTTTGAAAATATGGAAATTCGGGCAACTTTTGGAAGAGTCATTTTCCAGGCCAGTGAATTACAAAATTACGTATCTGATAGATACAATAAATGAGCATTCTCATGAAATTTTATGATGCGCATGGCTCATTTGAAGGTAGAAGTCATTTCGTTGAATTCAGTGAGAATATTAAACATGTACTTTTTAATGGTTGAATAGTGGTGGAGTTTTATTTAAATCATTGAGGGAGATGTTCACTTTGATAATTTCACTGGGAAAAGTTAACGAATTACTTTTTCAATTGAGGAAAAGGATTATTCATTGCGGGAGTTATTTCTTGGCAGAAAAAAAATTGAGGGAAGGCTTTTGAAGATGCCATTTTCCAGATGAGTAGCACTGCTGTGATTTGTTAGTTAATGAAATGACAAATTCACAATGATGTCACTGATTTTAATTTTTTGAAGTTGAATTAAAAAATTTACCTTGAAAAAAATAAAATTCAATTTTAAAGTTAAATAAAATTTTGAAAATATGGAAATTCGGGCAACTTTTGGAAGAGTCATTTTCCAGGCCAGTGAATTACAAAATTATGTATTTGATAGGTACAATAAATGAGCATTCTCATGAAATTTTATGATGCGCATGGCTCATTTGAAGGTAGAAGTCATTTCGTTGAATTCAGTGAGAATATTAAACATGTACTTTTTAATGGTTGAATAGTGGTGGAGTTTTATTTAAATCATTGAGGGAGATGTTCACTTTGATAATTTCACTGGGAAAAGTTAACGAATTACTTTTTCAATTGAGGAAAAGGATTATTCATTGCGGGAGTTATTTCTTGGCAGAAAAAAAATTGAGGGAAGGCTTTTGAAGATGCCATTTTCCAGATGAGTAGCACTGCTGTGATTTGTTAGTTAATGAAATGACAAATTCACAATGATGTCACTGATTTTAATTTTTTGAAGTTGAATTAAAAAATTTACCTTGAAAAAAATAAAATTCAATTTTAAAGTTAAATAAAATTTTGAAAATATGGAAATTCGGGCAACTTTTGGAAGAGTCATTTTCCAGGCCAGTGAATTACAAAATTACGTATCTGATAGATACAATAAATGAGCATTCTCATGAAATTTTATGATGCGCATGGCTCATTTGAAGGTAGAAGTCATTTCGTTGAATTCAGTGAGAATATTAAACATGTACTTTTTAATGGTTGAATAGTGGTGGAGTTTTATTTAAATCATTGAGGGAGATGTTCACTTTGATAATTTCACTGGGAAAAGTTAACGAATTACTTTTTCAATTGAGGAAAAGGATTATTCATTGCGGGAGTTATTTCTTGGCAGAAAAAAAATTGAGGGAAGGCTTTTGAAGATGCCATTTTCCAGATGAGTAGCACTGCTGTGATTTGTTAGTTAATGAAATGACAAATTCACAATGATGTCACTGATTTTAATTTTTTGAAGTTGAATTAAAAAATTTACCTTGAAAAAAATAAAATTCAATTTTAAAGTTAAATAAAATTTTGAAAATATGGAAATTCGGGCAACTTTTGGAAGAGTCATTTTCCAGGCCAGTGAATTACAAAATTATGTATTTGATAGGTACAATAAATGAGCATTCTCATGAAATTTTATGATGCGCATGGCTCATTTGAAGGTAGAAGTCATTTCGTTGAATTCAGTGAGAATATTAAACATGTACTTTTTAATGGTTGAATAGTGGTGGAGTTTTATTTAAATCATTGAGGGAGATGTTCACTTTGATAATTTCACTGGGAAAAGTTAACGAATTACTTTTTCAATTGAGGAAAAGGATTATTCACTGCGGGAGTTATTTCTTGGCAGAAAAAATATTGAGGGAAGGCTTTTGAAGATGCCATTTTCCAGATGAGTAACACTGCTGTGATTTATTAATTAATGAAATGACAAATTTACAATGATGTCTCTGATTTTAATTTTTTGAAGTTGAATTAAAAAATTTAACTTGAAAAAATTAAAATTCAATTTTAAAGTTAAATAAAATTTTGAAAATATTCGAGCAACTTTTGGAAGAGTCATTTTCCAGGCCAGTGAATTACAAAATTACGTATCTGATAGATACAATAAATGAGCATTCTCATGAAATTTTATGATGCGCATGGCTCATTTGAAGGTAGAAGTCATTTCGTTGAATTCAATGCGAATATTAAACATGTACTTTTTAATGGTTGAATAGTGGTGGAGTTTTATTTAAATCATTAAGGGAGATGTTCACTTTGATAATTTCGCTGGGAAAAGTTAACGAATCACTTTTTCAATTGAGGAAAAGGATTATTCATTGCGGGAGTTATTTCTTGGCAGAAAAAAAATTGCGGGAAGGCGTTTCAAGATGCCATTTTCCAGATGAGTAACACTGCTGTGCTTTGTTAATTAGTGAAATGACAAATTCACAGTGATGTCACTGATTTTAATTTTTTGTAATTAAATTAAAAAATTCAACTTTAAAAAATAAAAATAATTGAAATTAAAATTTAATTTTAAATTGAAATTAAATTCTGAAAATATGGAAATTCGGGCAAATTTTGGAAGAGTCATTTTCCAGCCCAGTGAATTACAAAATTACATATCTGATAGGTACATGAAATGAGCATTCTCAAGAAATGTAATAATGCGAATTGCTCATATGAATGTAGAAGTTATTCCATTTAATTCAGTGGGAATATTAAATATATATTGTTTAATAGTTGAATAGGGGCGATGTTCTAGTTAAATCACTGAGAGAGGTATTCACTTTAGTGATTTTATTGGGAAAAATTAACGAATCACATTTCCAGTGAGGAAAAATGGTAATTCATTGCAGGAGTAATTTTTTGCTTCAATAAATAGCTCTGAGTTGTTCCACAGTTTGTGACAGAAGTTTTGGCAGAAAAAAGTTCCATAAATTTTCTGAAGAAGTAATTTTCCAGCTCAATACCACCGCTACGGTTTGTTACCGAATGAGATAAAAATTTCAATTCTTTCCAAGTCTCGAAATAACATTCATAAAATTCGTTCTGTTGAATCAAATAAGAATATTACAGATAGTCTCAAAGTTTTTTCCACTTGACAACCCATCGCCATGTTTTATGCCTGAGTGGGATGAGAAGTACTTTGATGTTACGTTCTGTAGAACATCTTGCTCTGAGCAAAATTATCAAAATTATTTTTTCAAGTAAAACGAACAGAAGCCACAGTAAATAAAACGAATGTTTTCACTTACAGAACCAATTTCGTACTTGACTAAATCATGAAATTCTGCTTCTCATCAGTTACAGTCATTATTATTACCCTGAGACACTGTGAATATTCTGTAAAAATGATTTCTAGATAAAGTTATGAGCCTCCGAACTTTACAATCTACCCTTCAACGCCATAAGACTCTACCCTTCAACACGAAAAACTTATTCTTTTTCACTCTCAACTCCGCAATAACTATTTTGTTTTGCATTTCCCACAGAGCAAAACTTTCCCAGTAACTTTCAGCGGAAGAACCGCGGGGCTGACACTTGAATGGACCCAAGGATTTACGTTATCCTACGAGGGCCTCGGCGAAGTAGCCTGGAGATACAAATTTTCACAGTTACGTGGATCAAGTGACGACGGTAAGAGCAGGTTAAAACTGCACTTTCAAGAGTTGGACAGTATAGCTATAGAGACGAAGGTACGTACTTCACTCCTCATTGAGATAATTTATCCCCCTAGAAAACCACTGCCAAGTGTCTCTCGAGATTGAATTAACGATCCCCCATATTCCTTACTTCTGTTGGTTGCAGGAATTGGAATGCTCCCAACTGCAAAACCTACTGTTTTGCATGCACGCTTTCCTCACAGCCAAAGTCGCCGCTGTCGATCCAACATTCTTGACATCAACCACTCCATAGGAGCATTGAGAGAATAATTGTGCTGATTAGGTGACAATTAGACGAAAAAAAATACTCGAGAATTGGGCAAAATAATTTATGAAAATCTCCTGCAGAGAAACATTCGCTGAAATCATTCTTTGAAATTCTATTGACAGAATTGTAATAGAGAATGCACTAACTCTAGTCTGAATAATGAGATTTTTGCTAGAATTATTGCTTTCTCAAAATTAAAATTGTTTCAAAAGTAATTCCAGAGTTATTTTCAACAGAATTTGCCCTCTGCGTTGACGCCATTTCGGCGCTGCAAGCCGCACTCCAAAATGGCACGCCAAAATGATTCTAAAAAAAATCTCTCCGCCCAATTCTCCAAACCGTACTTTTAAGCTTTCTTTTCAATCCTTTGGTGCATTTATTATCAGGTACTAGTCACTCACCCAAAAACAAACTGATTTCAAAGGCGATTAATAACACGGTTGTATTAAAATAAGCGACAAAAGTGACTGATTGTTAATCTGCGACGTTCATGTATTTCAAGCCACTGCAATTCATCCTGTTGCCTACTCGTTCAATTCACGAATGTTGAAGCTTTTACTATTTACTTTTTTATATAAAAAAAAAATTATAGGACGTTGGTATTCAGTGCCTTGAAAAGCGTGAACGACGGTTGCGGCCGAGAGTTGCTAAGCAATGTCTAGTGGCCCACCGGAAACTTCTTACGCAGTGTGAAAGAATGAAAACTACTTTAGGAAAGTGTGGAGAAAATGAAAGGGACAAAGAATGTCTAGACACATGCTCTCTAACCAGAACCACTGATTCACGGGATTCAAGCAGATTAAGTAAGATGCAGTATTAATGTTTCATGTAATGTTGTATCATTCTGTGGGAGTAATGAATCAACAATGCTGAGTGGGAATATGTTTCTAGTGAGACCATGGTGACCTATTTCGAAGAGATTCAGAGTGTTTGTTGACAGTCTTCAGGCAAACGAGGGTACTAAATACATTTTCATCGTTCGTACTTCATCCCCCTTTTCATTGAGTCGTTAGGGTATTTTAGGGACAATTGGTTTACACTGAGGGACATCCAAATCAGGGGTATCACGTAGGCATAAATAAGGATCACCTTCATTTTCTAGTGGGAGCGATGAAGTTCTCCTAATTTAGTAGTCAAGTGGTGGAGGAAGACGAAATGAAACACTGCATTCTAATTATTTCGTCAATATTTCCTTTTTTGCAACAGTCGGCATGATATGTACAAATTTCTTTAAGTGGTCTCGTTTACTGCTTTGCTATTAAATTTATACTCATGAAATCTCTAATGAACTATCTTTATATCAGTTAATTTTTTTGCAAAGTACAATTCAAAGAAAGACGTCAGAAGGAAGGAAAGCTTATGAAAATATGCAGATGATTCTTAGTGCTGAGGTAGTAATAATCAGCATAATATGTACAAATTTGTTTGATACAGTTTGATATTGCTGAGTTAATTTTTTCTCAATGTGCATTTCGATGAAAATCATCAGACGGAGTAGACATGAATTAACATTTTCATCTTCGAAAGCAATGAAGTACTACTATAATAGTTTAGTTGTCAAGTGGTGGAGGAAGATGACACGAAACATTGCATTCTAATTATTTTGTCAATATTTCCTTTTCTGCAACAATCAACATCATATGTACAAATTTGTTTAAATGGTCTCGTTTACTGCTTTCCTGGTGAATTTATACTCATAAAATCTCTAATGAACTATCTTCAAGTTAGTTAATTTTTTCTCAAAGTACAATTCAAAGAAAGACGTCACAAGGAAGGAAAGCTTATAAAGATATGCAGATGATTCCTAATGCTGAGATCGTAATAATCAGCATAATATGTACAAATTTGCTTCATACAGTTTCATATTCTTGAGTTAATTTTTTCTCAATGTGACATTGACATTTTCATCTTCTAAAGCAATGAAGTACTACCAATTTAGTTGTCAAGTGGTGGAGGAAGATGAAACAGACCATTGCATTCTAATTATTTCGCCAATATTTCCTTTTCTGTAGAACATTTCATGAGGTGAAAAAATTCTACGCAACAATCGGCATGATATGTACAAATTTGTTCAAATGGTCTCGTTTATTGCTTTGCTATTAAATTCATACTCACGAAACCTCTAATGAGCTATCTTCAATTCAATTAATTTTTTCTCAAAGTACAACTCAAAGAAAGACGTCCGAAGGAAGTGAAACTTGTATAGACGTTCACATGATTCCTAGTACTGAGATAGTAATAATCAGCATAATATGTACAAATCGGTTTAGTTTATATTCATGTCCCCAAATTAATTTCTTCTCGATGTGCATTTCGATGAATCACCATCAGACGAATTAAGAAATCCTACAATCTCGCGATCTTCAATCAAAGGGAAAACAGCATTCGATAACAGTCGAGAAATATTCCAATTACTTCTAGAAAGTGCCTGCATAGCTTTTTGGTGAGAGTTTTCAGATGGATTAGCTCCCTTTAAACCCTCCTCCGAGATATCAAAGACGATGAATGTACTGATAACGAAGCAATTTGTAATAAGGGGAATAACGGCGCTGAAGTTGAGTTTTTCCACTTTTTTTTACAGTCGAGAGTTGCCCCTCATTATTGGATAGAATCATTGATTGAGGTGAAATTTTTATAGTTCTAGGTACGCGGAGCATTTCGATAAAAATACTTTCAGGTCAAGTAACTTCGAGGAACAAAGCCTCTAGTTTTAATGATATTTTTTATGGCGTTGCCAGGGTCTGTAAATTCGAGACTACTAGATTTCCATTTTAGTGGATGAGAATTCACTTCAATTTCGATGGAAAATGTCAGTTCAAACATCCGCTAATTTTTCTGAAAATTTGTAATCACCAATTCTCATTGATCATCCCAGAAATAGTAGAATGCAAATGTTGGAATGAGATTATTTGAGCATCAGTTTGGAGGAATATTTCTGAATCTATCCCACAGAAATTTGTGATTTCGAGATATTTGCAAGAAATAATTTTAAAAAACGATCAACCGATCTTCCTTCACACGCACGAAAAAAATTAATAGAAAAACCTATCGAATTCGTGGAAAATTCCATTGAATTTCCATTAAACTTTCTATTAGTTTTTGGCTGATTTTATTGACACGTTCAATAGAAAACGTCAACAGAATTCGATTTTTCTATATAAGTTATTCTTTTCATATATTTTCTATGGAATTAGCTCGACTCAAATTTTCTAAGTGTTTTAAATTCTATTTTTCTTTTCTTCTCATCAAGAAAATCAAACGAAAAAACTTAGAAAATTTGAGTCGAGCTAATTCCATAGAAAATATATGAAAAGAATAACTTATATAGAAAAATCGAATTCTGTTGACGTTTTCTATTGAACATTTCAATAGAATCGGCCAAAATTTTTTCGTCCGTGCACCACTTCTCTACTGACATGTCAAACGCATCAATGTCTCTCAACTTGAAACAATCAATTCCCCTGAAATGTTGAAACATTCTCAATTTTATTGATTCCACAAAAAAGCGATGGAACTACTCAATCGTCCAACGGCCCTTGGATCATGTACTCATAAGGAACGTGTTAAATACTAAATATATCTACAGAAATTAAGCAAGTGAAAGTGAATGTATGCTTGAGTATAAAACGAATGCTACCATACTTAGAAAAAAACATTCGAGCGATTCGATCTGATCCCAGAAACCGACAAATAAGAATCATTCTGCGATTTGACTCGAGTGATTAACCAAGGACTGCACAATTAACATTGTATAGATTATAAATAAACTAGTTAAGAAGCAGACGAGATGTGCATAAGCGATGATAAAATTGACATGTGGGCAGGTGGCTACAGTTCAATTATTGCGTATCCAGGATCAATTATATCGAAGTGTGATTAAAGTTGATGTAACGGAGTTAGGTACATATCCAGGCGAGGAATGAATCCTGATGAACGATATTCCTTTAATTCGATTATATTTTTGAGAGTAAAATCCCGAAATTCATGAATATTTCAAGAGTTGTATCACGCCGTACTTCGAAATATCTCAAATTATCTAAAAATGCGAGAGACATGAAGAACTTTTTGATAAATTGTAGATCTAATGCGACGTTTTTCAGCGACTCCTAGACCATAAGTACGAGACGTTTTACATTTCTTGAGTGAATGATGAACAAATTTGGAGAACATGACTAGTGAAACAAATTCGTTTAACAATTTTTCGTTAATTCGCTTTTAAGTGCTTGAGTACGAGCTGTAAATAATTTTTATCGCCTGAGATTGACTCAACTGAGAGTTATTATTAAAGCTTAGGAACAATTCCATGAGAGTGAGAGGCAGCGATGATTGGAGACGAAACAGGTGCATCGATAGCTTTTGTAATTTCTTTGCAAAGGCACGCGCAATATCTCTCATTGAAAGCGAATAATGGAAGGGGAAAAAAGTGGAGAAAGGAGACGAAGAAGAATCTAGTAACTGCCCGAGACTCCAATATATGCTTGTGAAGTTGAAAAATTATTCGCACGCTCTTATATTTCGAAATATAGTTTATCTGTTATAATGTCTATCCCCTCATTGACAATATGTTTAAAAATATATTATATCATTGTTAGAAGTTACTGACGACGGAGAAAACTGATTTATCACTTCCTCAGTGTCTCGTACAGCAATATTTGCCGATGTTATCACCTTATTTCAGTTGGCACGTGGACGAGAGGAGCCGTTGAGATCGACTTTTACATGAATATCGGAGGGCTTTTTCTCGATAGACGTGAACACTAGCATTTTTATTGCAATATTTGTTACTTCTGGACATCTCATTAGGGTCTAGAATCTTTGTCCCCTTCTCCGGGGGATCGAACCCCCGCCGGATTGCCTTCTCCCGTTTCAACTTGCGCCAATTACATCGCTTCCCATATCCTGGCTGGCAGCCGCCACTGCCGAACGGTAATAACACGTCAGAATGAAAATAATCGCCGATAAATCTGAAACGGAGAAAGGAAAAATGGAAGAGGGTTTTTTTATATTGGATGGACTGTTGGTTTGGGTTCCGGTTGTTTCAGACATTTCTGGAGGTGATATTATTACTTATTAGGGCAAAAATGTTGCTATCTACCTTGGATTTTGAGATATTAGTTATATTTAATAGTCAAATTCGATTTAACCCTAGATTGCTCACCCTACACTGAGAGAAAAATGACAAAGTTCTCAAAGAAGTCTTACTTGTGTCGAGAAA